TGAGTTTTTTCAAGTGTCTCGTTATTTTTTATTCGGGAAGCATATATTTGATAAAAAATACATTTTAGTGCGTTTGAATCATGACCTTCAGATAACTTTAAAAACCAAAAATTATAGAATTGTGGGACAATGTTAAGATGGTATGTGAAATTTGCTTTTTACTTTCCTGGTGGTAATTCTTATTGGTCCATCCTGTATATAATAATAATTACTTATAATATAGTATTATTGGAACCGTGCATTTTTATTTCCATGCTTGCAGAAATGTGTATATTATTCTCAAAAGTAAGTCGCCTCTTGTTTGTGATTCGAAGAACGATAACAATAAACCGATCTCTCCAGAGAGCTGTTCAAAAATAAAAGCGTTTCAAGAGAAGGAAAACAAACAAACAGCAGCTATATACTATATTCCTACCCATAAAAATCTATCTTTATTTTTGATAAAAAATTTTCTTATCAAAAATATGAATTATTATTGTAATCTGATTTTCTTATCGCATTTCAAGTAAAGGAATGCGCTAAAGCTGAAGTGGTTCATTATAAGTTACATCAACGCCCGTAGAAGTTCTTGTGACACAGTTAACTTTTGAACTATAATATTACTGAAATCGCTGACTACCGCAGCTATATGTATTTCCTTTCACGCTTCTTGGATCCCTTCGTAATACAAAATCTTTGACCAGCAAGCCCTGAAATCACCGATCCTGTTGCTCCTGAAAGTAGGAAGCGGATTATTAACTTTCCCGTCAACTTCTCTTACAGAAAATTAAGTTACCATGTTCTTTATTTGCAGCAGAGTGCCGTGTACCTAATTTTTCAAGTTGCTGAGAAGAAATCAGATATCTGAGAAAATTATTTTAATTGTAATCAATTATAATCAATTGTAATCAATTAAAATAATTCGGTGTACAATATCGTTTGAATAAAGAAAATGAATAACTTAAATAGTATTTAAAAATTAATATTCGTACAGATATTCAAAACAATTAATAATGTAGTGATAATTAGGAAAATATTAGTAAAAAGCTTCAAATTTCTATAAAAATAACAATTACATACATATATTGCAGATATTGCAATCTTTCTATAGGAATTAATTTTTTCTAATTTTTCTAACATGTGTGTTGATTGCCTTAAAAATAATTTATAACTATTATCCAATTCAATTAAAAAGTTTATAACGAAGAAGAATAATTGGTATATACATAAAAATTCGTTCATCAACAATGAAGTACTATTTTAGTACGAATTACGATTTTTTTTTAAATTTTAATTTACAATAAAAAATGGGTCACGTAAAACAGGCCACCTAATTTTCTTCTCTAGCTATGGCGGTACAAGAAAATTTTTAGACGTAATTTAAATAGTTAATTTGGAGGTCACATGTTGACAACTTGCTAATCGATTGTTAAAAAGTTTAGTTTCTATTACAAATAGTTATCAAAGCTATTACAAATCATTATAATGTTGAGAAGCAACAAGTGGTATGCGCCTACTTCTTTTCCTACTCCTATATCTATTTTTTTTGTTTATTTATTAATCCTTTGTATGTTTCATTTATCACTTTTAGCATTTCCCTCTTTTTTCCATATATGTTTATTCATATTATTTGGCAATGGTTGTATCCAGTACACTATTAATAATTAAGACTGAAATAAAATTAAGTTTGAATGCACTTGAAAATTGCAACGGCCAAAATTTTAATTTTATATTTAAATATTCGATTCAATCTAACCAAATGCCACAATATTTTCTAGTTACGCATTAAATCATGGTTTACACAAGAATTGGTTCACAGTACGAACTTACTATAGTACACATGACTCAAACAACGATGGTTGTTTCTTGGGATTTACAGCTTGGGTACATCTCTTCTATATTACTTTAGCTTTGTTGTTTATGGGTAAGTGAAGTTGGAGATTTTAATTAAACCTTGGCGAACTTATGTTCCTGCTTTGCCTTTTAATACTGATTAACACATATACACTACCGGCCGAAAGTTTAGAATCACTTGCCAATTTATATTAATATTGAATCTGCTACTAATTCTTTATTGATTTGAAATTGATGTTGTGGAGATCAAAAGCACTTTATCTCATTTCGATTGATTTGAATAATAAAAAATTTGTTGGAAAATTATTATAAATGCTAACATTTTTGGGGAATTTTTGTGCAACTTGCAATGCACAGTGATTCCAAATATATGGCCGGTAGTGTACATATGTACGTGTTACAAATCTATTTACCGGTTACAAGTTGATTTGCGATTTACTTTTTCAACTAGAAATTTCTTTAATATCTTTCTTGAGTATATGCATATTTTAAAAAGTTAATTAATATTCATATTAGTATGTATTAAGTGTTATTATATATTTGCTTTGAAAGTATGGTTCTTGGAAAACTTAGAAGAAAATTTAAAGATTATTACATATTTCTTCGAAACCTTAGAATCTGATGATACAATTAATCTTAAAGTTTATTAGATTTGTTAAATTCTTGCTCATATCTAATTATATAGATCTGAAACTTTTTAAGCATTGAATGTATAACTCTGAAACTTACAACTTTATATTATACTTATAAAGTCAAGCAACTTATAATGAACTTGACTCGTAAAAAAAATTAGTCCGGATATTTGGTATAAAACTGAATGAAACGGATAAAAAAGATGACAAACTTTTTATATGTTGGAAAATGCAGAGTACAGCTTCATATGTTTCCTTGTTTCGTTTTACATTTTAACTTGCTTCCGCTTATTTATTGTTAAGGACACTTTAATATAAAATTTATAATAAGGAAGAAAAATTCTATTATTTCTGAGAAGGTGGAATATTACCGAGAAATAGTGTTGGGCAAAAGTTATTTCGAATACCTAACAAAAAGATAACGAATAAATTCAATTTTTGTCGAAAAAATTCCTACCTTCTGGTAATAAAGTATGAATTGCAGCGCACCGTGCAGCGTAATTACGATGCAATCCTGTAACGTACCAATTTATGTGAATGAAAATGTGAATTCCATGGCGTTTTGTAATAAAATAGTGTACCTTCCTAAAAATACTAACTCCACTGCTATACGCAGTTTGTCTTTTTCTACATATTTGTCTCTGTTATTTTTTTTTTAATATTTGTTAATGTGAATTTTAACTAATTTTAAGTTTAAAAAATGATACTGAAGTGGATAATAAAGTGTATGAGAAAATTGAGATTCTTAGAATGAATTGTTGCAAGCCACGATAGAATATGTATAGTGATGTTTAAATGTGTAATTTAAAAAAACCGTAACAATAAATTTTATAAATTCTTTTAACAATTTTTAACAATTTTTTATAAATTTTAATAACAAAATTTAATATACATACTATATAGTATCGATCCACTAATTACAGCTATCGAAAAAGCAACATTTTATTTTCATTAACCTAATATGTATCGCTGACTGTACGCGTAAAATATCCTATTTGTTTAAATTGTTTTCTACAGATTGTAACAGTAAAACGGAACATATTTTCCAACTGATTGACGTAGCTTAATTGTTGCACACTGATCAAGACACGTTCGAAAATTTTGATTTGCTTCGACACCGTTGTTTCAACCTGTCGAAATTTCGTCATACGAAAGTACGACTCCGTTAGACAGGATAGATATGAAACAGGAATATGACCTGTCGCCAGGGGTGAACATTGTGTCACATGCTCATTCATGTGTGCTATATCAAGCGACGCAGTACATGTATCACTCAATATATTTTATGGTAGTCCACATGCTGTGACCGACGTTTTATTTGAACTTTTATGAGATTTCCGCGAGCTATGGTAAAAAGGTGTGATACACTTGCTGCCGAACGGGATTTCTGTTTCACTCAATTCTCATGATTTGTAAATATTCGAATATTTAGGAAGGAACTTGAATTATTAGGTAATCTGTAACCTACTGATGTAAATTTTACATTAATTTAATTTAATTTAATTTTAAAATTGAAATAATATTATTTTATTTTTCTTGCATTATCTTTTTTAGTGACATAGATAGTTTCAGTATATTAATTATTTAAAATTAGCTGTTTATTTATAGAATACATTTTTAATTTGTTTCTTTTATTGTACATGTAAACTACATTATATTGTCGGAAATAAATGTAGCGTTTGACAAGACCAAATGTTATTTTGTTAAATTAAAAATAAAGACTACATATTTTAGATACTTTTCTATTTGTCGACGAAGTTCTAAACCTTATCAGTTTTGTATAGAATTACAAATTGCAGTTTCTGGAAACTTCAAGCTTGTTTCATTATCTTCAACATTTTGTGAAGCTCTGGAAATATATTTGTTGCTTTCCAATACATATTATGT